CCCCCTGGTGGATACTAGAACATCTACAGGTACATTTGGATCTATTTTTACAACTAAAGAGTGATTAAGAAGTAAAAGTAGCAACTGAAATATTTAGGTGGACTTAATAGTTTTCTTTTTATGATACTTTATAATTCCACTTCAAATGTATTATGTAATTATTGATGTTAGACTAAGCTGTAGTTATATTAATTTCAGCTACTCAGGATTCACACAGGTTATCCTATAATATAAACTCTATATATTATAGGACAGAGACGTCAATGAAGTCAAAGCTTTGTGACAGTGTTGGTGAGAAACAGAGCGATTTCAGACTCAATTCCAGCGTTCAGCTTTTCTTTGGTAGCAGTCGGTCTGCATTTCACATGTTGTCTTGAAAATATTGATGCACAATTTTGCAAATGCTCACTAAATCTATCAAATTATAAGTACATGCAGAAGCTTCTTCGTGGTTTTTCCTGAATTAGTTCTGACGTCTGACTGCTCCATTCCAAAACTTTACTTCTCTGTTTCACTGCTATGGTGTTCCTCTTTGGTCATGTTCTGTAGTTATTCCAAACAAATCTTGGCTTAAATGTTCAAGTGTGGTTCCTTCAGATGATAACACACTTTCGGCACACCCAGATGTTTTACTAGTTGAAAATGAACTGAAGTAAGCTTTGAAGTTTTTTGAGTGTTTGAGATTATGTTTTTAAAGGAAAATTCATTTTTTAGTGTAAACTTGCAGACATTGTGTAAGAAGTAGAGTTTTCCTGTGTGTTTATTTAGGATTCTGTCAGTTGAGTTTCGGTGTGGTCCTGCCTACCCTTGATTGATCCCAGCTGTGTCTAGATCCCTTGTGTATTTATATTCACCTGTGTTTCTTGTTCTCTGTCAGGTACTTGTCTAGTTGTCTCTTGTCTGCCGTCTATTGATTACTGTTTACCACAGTGTTTCTCTACCCTGGTCCTCACCGCCCCCCTGTCCTGCATGTTTTAGGTGTTTCCCTTCTGCCACACACCTGAATTGTATCTCTGGGTGATTAACAGGCTTCTGCAGTACCTGATTGTCATGCAATCATTTGAATCAGCTGTTCTGGAATAGAGGCACATCTAAAACATGCAGAGCAGGGGGGCGCTGAGGACCAGGGTTGAGAAACACTGGCTTACGTCAAACATCTGAAAATGGATTGGGTACTTTGTTAAACAACATTACATCAGGATTATCATTTTTTTATTCTTTGCCATTTGAAAAAAAAAAAAGTAAACGATTATTAAGACACCTAAAAAGGCATAATTTATTAGTCTAACATATACACTGAGATGTAATTTAAAATATACTGAAATTAATAATTTTAAGTAGCGTTAAGTGAATTTAAAAAAAAATCTATTTTGAGCATATATTTTAAAATATACACAAAATATCTTTGACAGATATTTTAAAAATCTTTTAAATATATACCTGAGCAAGTGTATATTTACTCTTGGGCAAATACATATTTTGTTCACTTACAGTATACTTTTATTTAATATATTTCTTAAAAGTGTATTTTGGTACAATTATATTTACGTGTGTTTAAAGTTATAATGTTGAAGTTGGTCCAAGCATACTTTTAGTATACTTCATATATATTTATAGGTAGTACACTTAATAATTAGTATACTTAAAATGTACTTTCACAAATGTAAGTATGCTTGAAATGTACTAAAGTATACCTTTTTTTTTACTAGGGCTCTAAAGTGTACCTGTTGTTTTATTGTGCTAATTTTCATAAGCTGTAAACTCTGAATGTATTGAGAATTTGTGCAATTCTGCGATGGTATATTGGCAATGTACTCTTGAAAAATGGTCAAATATTGAAAGAACAATATAATTAGTTTCTCCAGTAAAGTGTGTTGTAAATGACCCTTCTGTGTTCTGGTAACCTGATGTGTTTGCAGTACTGCAGTGTGTATGAAGCATTAATGCAGAAAGTGGCAAAGCAGAATAATAATAGACATTAAAAAGTGTACTTCATTAGCAATTATAATGAACCAAAAGTGTAATTGCAGCATACTGTAATCAAACTAGTAATATATAAAATATGTAATGCTTATATACTTAGACATTCTTAATATATTCTACTTAAGATATACTAATCAAGCACGTTTACAGTTCATCAAAATCAATATACTTAATGTACAGTAAGCAAAACTATAGTTGTTCCAAAAAGTAAGTACGTGAGAGTACACTTTAGATTGTGCTTTAATACAATTTAATTACTATTAACAAACACTAAGCACAAAATTAGTTGTTCCAAAATATCACACTTCAGGTATGCAGATGATTAGTCTGGCTTCAACTATGCTAAAATTTTACATGCTTAGTGTATTTATTTTTCACCAGGGAATTGGACTGACAACCAATTATTTTACCATCACATAAAAATTAAAAACTACTGTGCTTTATTTGCAATGAGTGCAGTGTGGTGTTTGATTTCCAAAACAACACATTGTTTATTGTTTACATTTAACAAAATTGGAACATTGTTAAAAAAAAAGACTCAAAGGAACTTGAAATTCCAAGTTTTATTATGGAAGATGAGTATCATTTATTAATGAATAACAACTCCCCCTTTTTTCCAATCAGAAAAAAGTTAAGACAAATAAAAAATAAAATAAAAAGAATGTTCCTTCCTCTTTATAAAATGGCTGACCCTCAATAAAATATGCAATCAAAATGTTATTTCTTTTTTAGGATGTGACTAGAGACAAATCAATCTGGACAGAAATCACTGGTCTTTTATTACTAATTTGAACAGAATTGCAGCTTCTATAAAGTGTAATCAATGATGAGTACGTTTTTGGTAGGTATTTGATTTGACATGCATTGATAGGTGGTTATTGATGCTGCTGAAGGACTAAAATACAGAAGTTAAGAATACAAAGGTTTTTCTTTTTACAATTAGATTGTACAAAGGATCATTTTAAGTCAAATACAATGTAATCAGACTGATCTAAATAACAATTGAGACACACATGACATATATTATGATGAAGAAATAGAAAAAGTTAATAACCTCTGGAAGGTTGAATATTTTCAGTGAACACTGCAACTTTTAAAAAAGCAATATTTCTGGAAATAATACGTTTTTGAACATTATAATTTTTCCTTTTTATCTTGTGTTGGACTAGTTTATTGGAACGATGGTGGTGACAGGAGTTTGTCACTCAATCAGTGGGTTGTTGGTTCAGGACCCCCTGTGTCCTGGTGATGGTCAGAGGACCCTTTGGCACTGATGCATTCCAGCCTCAAGTGTTTGTGTGCTGTGGCTACCATCCTATCCAGTAGCTTGCCACCATCAGTGAGTGTATGAATGACTGAAAGTAGAGTAATGCATTTTGGATAGAGAACTGTTCAAGAACATATCATTTACATTTGACCACAGTGTAATCTAATAAATTTTCTATCCAAGTTTTTGACACTTGGTGCTAAATTCTTCAACTTTATTTTTGGCATGCTTTCCTGAAGACCACAAAGCTTCTGCCGTCTTCTTTGCTGCTTCCCATGGTGTTTCTGCTTCCTCTGCTGCCTGATATCCTTTATATGCACCAAATGCTGCTCCAGCAGCTGCAAATGTACCCAGTAGTACTGATCCTGCTGTGATGCTAGCAGTTCCAGCTGTTGCACCTGTTGTTGCTTCTGCTGCAGTTCCAGCTGCTGCACCTATTGTTGCTTCTGCTGCAGGTCCAGCTGTTATTCCTAGAAAGGCTACAGCTTTTTTTAAGTCAGCTGCTATTTTTATGCCAGGAATAACTGCTCCAATAGCGGCAACTACACCAAAAAGTGCTCCCAGCAGTACACCTGCTGTAATACCTGCTGCAATACGTGCTAAAATATCACACACTCTGCTTTTAGCTTTCTCATCAATTTCTCTCTCCGAAAGGTTTCTGGAGGACTGTGCAATACGCTGCTTTTCCTGTTGCTTTAGTTTCTCTACTACTTGCAGCATCTCGTTGGTGTAGCAGTTTCCATTGTTTGCCTTCACTATCTCTTCAACTGATTTCAGTATCTCTTTCACCTGATAAGCGTTGCTCCTGTAGGGGTCACCTGAGGGATTTTTCCAGTACTTATTATCTATCACATGGCATCGACCACCACATTTTTTTACTAATTCATCCAAAAGTACATTTGGGCTCAAATACTCTGTGATTTTCTGCCCTTCTCGGAGGTCATCACCATGAGTAAAGACGACTGTTGCAAATCTAAACACTTCTTCAGAGAAATATTGGGTTATTTTGTTAACAATGTCGTTTTCCTGCTCTGTAAATCTTCCTAGTTGTAGCACAATGAGGAAAGCGTGCGGCCCAGGTGAACACTCTGTGATGCACTTCACTATTTCAGGCTTCAGAGCTTCTTCAGGTTTGTTTGTATCAAATAACCCGGGAGTATCAATCAGAGTGATTTCTTTTCCATTTAGTGATTTAGTTTTTGCTTCACATGGACTTTCAGCAGAGACAGAACCATGGCAGACGGTGAACTTGTCCTCTTCAAATATAGTGTTTGCAACACTGCTTTTCCCAGATCCAGTTTTTCCGAGGATCACAATTCTTCTCATGTTGGGACCTGGAAGATGAAAACATCACATTAAAACAACTATTTTGTGTTTTGATCATTTTCAGTGATGAGAATTAACTGCGTTAAATAAATAGTTCTGCTATTTATTTAAGAGAGATTACAGAGGTTGTTCTGTAATCTAACCAATTACTTTTTCCATTGATACCACACCGTTACCATTACTGACAGCAGCAGTACCATCACTGTTACTATAATTCAGCAGCCCACTGAAGGTTGAAGAATCAGTCCTCATCTGACCAGGAGCTAGGATGACCATGCTTTCATTTCCAAAAAGTAGACGCTTGGTCCAGTCCTAAAACTCTTTAATCATTCTGTGTTTCTTTAAAAAGAACGTTTGACCTTGACATATTTAACATTTATGTTAAATATGTCAAGTATGCGCAGTTGGTAGCATTGTTGCCTTGCAGGAAAAAAGTCCTGGGTTTGAATTTGGCAGCAGTTTGTCACAGACAAATAACATACAGGTGCTGGTCAAAAAGCTATTTTTTATTTTTTTCCTTTTGTAGGCTAACTGTATACATCACTCTTTGAGCTCACTTTACAGTACCTTGCGGACCACTACGGGCCGCCTATTGACCACCAATGATCTGTGGGCCACAGTTTGAGAAAGACTTGTTTCAACGAAATTTGTTTTGCAGTTTCACTTTGTAATCTGCTGGAGTGCAGCTGTTGCATTTGGTGTATCTGCATCCTCTCCGGTCTGCCCCACTGCCACTTTGCCAGAAGAAGTCCTATATTGTTTTACATTTAAAATTCCCTTCTCTACCAGTGAATTCTGGAACAGTTTTCACTTTCCTTGCCATCTTTCTAGCTATTTGTGATGTGACCAGATAAAGTTAGGCCACATTTTAAACTTTGAATTCTGTCCCTCCAACTGTAACCTAAGGGGAGCAGCTGCTTTCCCATATTTACTAACTTGTGAAGATTGTGAAAATCAAACTTCTCATCTTCTAGTCAAATAAACGTTTTTGCCTCGTCCTCTTCAAAATTTGTACATTTGACAAAGAATTTAATCCCATTTGAAATAAAGTAAATAATCTTTCTTTCACTTACAGTTGGCACAGAATGAGCACTTACCCTCAATCAAAATGTCCGTCTTGAAAACTTTGTGTTCGGCTGTTAGACTGAGTTTGTCTGCACCTCAGAGCCTGAGTGCTCTGAAGGAGAGAAAACAGAAAGTGAAACTTGTAAATCCACGCTTCACTGGTAAACAAGTTGCATTTATATGTGACGTTGCTCGTTCTTTACACACACAGAGACCTAATCACATTTATCT